CACTCTCCTTGCTGGAAACGTAAGTGCTCAGAGAACCATCTAACTCAATCCCTGGACGAGCCTGGAGTTTGAAATACTCTTTATTGACAATTTTAATTTTTTGTCTTCCATTTCTTTAAAAAAAAAAAAAAGTCTCCTCTCAAGGCTCTGGGCACACTGCAATAACAAGAGGATTTAGAAACAAATTGCTTTCAAGTCAAGTTAAGTCACTGCAAACACTCATTTATCCAAAGGCTGGTTCACAAACATGTTTCCCTCCCGCCTTTTCTAGAAAAGGGTAGGGAAGAAAGCAACCTGGTTACCTAGTTCCAGAGTTTGCAACTAGGAATGTAAATCACATGTGCAGGATCTTAGCACCCCCCCCACCCCCCACAAACACACACACACACACACACACACACATACACACACACACACACACACACACACACACACACACACATTTCTGCTGCACTCAGAGCCAATGAAAGAGGAAGGTGATTTATCACTCTCATACACCAATAAGTTGATTTTGATAACCTCCCTCCAAATAACTACTTTCCCCTTCTGGTTTAGAATGGAATTTGTTTTGATCCAGATGGTTGGCCCTCCTGGAGGGGCCCCGGGGCTTGGGGGACTAGAGATTGATTCTCCCTTTTCCGCCCAGTGATGGGGTGTCCAGGGACACAGCATTATATAAAATCCTGCACTTCAAAGGTCGTCAGCTCACCACTGAGGCTTTTTATATGCTCGTGGCCTCACTAAATTCCGGGTCCACCAAAGAGAGTGAAAAAGAAAAAGGGAGGGGAGGTGGGATCTGCTTGATTGGCACAGCAAGGGGGAGAAGAAACCAGTACCCCTTAAGAAGCGTTTTTTCAAAAGGCGAATTGAAAGTGTTGTTTTGTTTGGTGGGTGGCAGGGCGGGGCTGTTTAATGGTTTGGGGTTTAGGAGGTAAAGAATGCTATCAGTGCCACTCTCTGAATCCTGGTCCCCAGCAAAAATGCTCTTGAAATTGCCCTTGGCCAGAGGGAAGCAGGCGCCTCTGGCGGGAGACCCCGTCATCACCCCGCCGGTTCCGATGGTACCTCGGAGAGGACAAGTCAGAGAGGCGAGACCTCTTGCAGGTCCCGGATAGGCGTGCCCCCCAGCACCTTCCCCTCCCCTCCCGCCGCGGTCACAGGCCTTTGTGACCCAAGAAATCCTGCAGAGCCCACAACAGGCGAAACCCCCAACAGGCGAGAGCCCTTCCGAGAGAGAGCTCTGAGCCAATTTCTCCGGCTTGCCCTATGCTCCTTTGGCCGCTAGGAGGCGCTTGTAACCCACGTTTGCAGTGAGAGAGTCCTGATTCAAACACATCTGCTACTATAAAAAAAATAAAAAGCGGTTCCAGCGTTCCAGTGGATGTAGTGGCTATTCACAGGCAAATCTGACCATCTCTCCACAGCCTCCTCTCCACCTCAGGAAGCCCTTGGGCTCTCAGCGAACGCCCCAAGTCTGCTCAAACTTCACCTGCAGGTTGCAAACAAACAAAACAAAACAAAACACAAAACACCTCTCCCCCAAATTCTGGATCTGCATTGTCATCCAGCCGCAGGGCGCTCACACGCAGACACGCACGCACACGCGCGCGCGCACACACACACACAAAGTGTTCCCACACGTACATAGGAAAACACGAGAACATTACCGTCATTTAAAATTAAAATTAAAAAAATGCTCCGGGATTCTGATGAGTCAGCTTGAAGAGCTCAGAGCCTGTCATTTCCATCCCACAGTTGGAAAGCAAACGAGGGGGTGAGGGGGTGTGAAAGTGCAGACTGCAATGCCACATTCGCAATCAGATAAACTATCATCTCCTTTCCATGGATCCACAGGTCCCTTCTCAGTAGCGGGACGTGGCGCTCGCATCCTTGCAACTGCAGCGGTTTGCACTTGGCCTGGGCCAGTCATCAATTTACTGCAGCTGGAAAGGGATTAGCCATGTTTGCTGGCATCCTTCCCTCCCAACCGCTCAAAGGCAGGACCCAACACCGCCACAGAGCTGGAGGGGGGAGGGAGGGGGAGACAGTGCAGTAGGCTCGCACTCGCGGGACAGGTAGGGGCATGGGCTCAACCTGCAATCCAGTCCGCGGACGATCGCCGTCCTTAGTCCTTCGTCCCCCGCCAGGCGGGAAAGGCAACAGCGTAGCTTGAGGTCCGGGGGGAAACGAACCTCCTTTTCTCGCAGGTCGCGGCGGTGTGGCTCTAGGGTCATTCATGGCGAGGAAGCCCCCGGGGACCCTCCTGTCTCGTGGTTTTTGAAGGAAATTGAACTGGGGCTGCTTTTGTGAATCCACAACCCACTGCTGCGGCCCGTGACTGAACAGAGAACTGTGTGTGTGTGTGTGTGTGTGTGTGTGTGAGTGTGTGTGAGTGTGGTGTGTGTGTGTGTGTGTGTGTGTGTGTGTGTGTGTTATGCTGGAGAATTGGCATGCATCCTCTCTGTAGCAGGGATGAGTGCGCGCTGGATGTGAACTTCACAGGGTTGGGCGTGTGGACGCGCCGCCGGCCCCACTCCCGGCGGGTGGGCACTCGGAGCTGGCCCAGCGCCTCTGGGGGACCGGGAGTGGGGGCGGGGGTTCCTCTGGGACCCTCACCGAGCTGTGGCGCCCTGGCTCAGGGAGGACGGCTGAGAGCTCCCGCAATGTGCCAGCGCCGGCCGGAGCCCGCACAAGCACACACACACACTCACACTCACACACACAAGCGCGCGCTCTCTCTCTCTCTCACACACACACACACACACACACACACACACACTCACACACACACTCACACACACACACTCACAAGCGCTCTCTCTCTCTCTCACACACACACACACACACACACACACACACACACACTCACACACACACACTCACAAGCGCTCTCTCTCTCTCACACACACACACACACACACACACACACACACGGCCCCGCGTTTCCGCCCGGTCCACCCCCCTCCGCCGGCCCCCCACTCCCAAGTTCCCAGCCGCCCCGCGGTCCCCATGCAGCGAGCGTGCAAGCATCGCCGGGCACAGAACGGACGCCCGGTCTGGCCCGGGGCCGGGGCCGGGGATGGGGGATGGGGAGGGAGGGAGGAGGCGGGGGAATCTTGGATTGTCAGAAATAACGCGGAAAACACAGCCTGTGCGCGCCGCCGCCGCCGCGGAGCGCTCGGCGGGGAGAGGGAGGCGCGGGCTCCGAGGGCTCCCGGCAGCGCTCACGGCGCTCGGCGCCCGCAGCCCGGAGGGGAGCGTTCGCTGGGCTGGAGCCAGAGCTCAGAGGAAACGAGCCCCTCAGCCCATGCTCCGAGCGCTCCCAGCTCAACCCAGGTGCCCAGACGAATCCATCTGTGCAGCGAGAGTGTGCGGGTCTGCATGGGAGACGGCGGGAGGCGAGTCTATAAGAGGGTGCAGGTCCATCCGATCGGCCAGGCCTCCTTGGGGTGGGACTCACCCCAAGGAGGTCAGGCGGATCGGATGGACCTGCACCCTCTATAGCCTCTGCACCCTCTATAGCCCCTGCAGACCCCACGCTCCGTGTGACCCAGGCCACGTGAGATCCGGTGTCTCCATGCCCTGGCCGCCGCTGCCTGAGCCCCTTTACTTAGGTAACCCCTGCCGATGGATGTCCGCCCTCTGCAACTTTCCCCCGTCCTCGGGGGTGTAGTTGCACCATCAGCAGCCTGGAAAATACCTTCCAGGGAACAAGAATGTGAGCGTCATTGGAAACCCCGCTCCTGGGAGAGGATACCGCCGCCGCGGTTGCTATTGTGGTTTCGCCGTTGCTGATGCAAACGGGGGAACCTCTCTATTCCCTCCCCGCGGCCTGCGGCTGGGGACCGGGAACTTTCCGCGGCAGAGTCCCCGGCGGCGCCTCGGGACCCGCAGGCCCCGCTCCATCTCACACTCACACTCACCGCGCCCGCCCGCCCGCCCGCCCGGCCGCGGGCTCTGCCCCGCCCCGCCCGGCTGCCGGGTGACGCGCCTACTTGACGGCCGGCGCAGCCAATCCGCGGGGGCGCGGGGGGTGGTGCTCCTCGGGGATTGGTTGGCAGAAGGAGGGCGCTGCGCAAAAACAGAGAAGCGCTGCGCTCCGAGCTCAGAAACTGCCAGCGGAGATCGCGGGCTCCGAGGCTGAGCCGGAGGAGGGGACAGGACTGGAAGGAAGAGAGACAGACGGCTCAGAGGGAGAGAGGCTTAGGGAAGGCAACAGCAAGAAAGAGGCTGCTCATCACACCTACAGAGAGGCAAAGAGGCCGGCCGGAATGAGGACGGAGAGAGAGGAGACTGGGAAAGCCAAAAAATACAAATAGGTCGGAGGAAGAAGAAAAAGAAGAAAAAGGAAAGAAAAAAAAATGCCTAGAACAGCCATCCGGAGAAATGAAGAGAATGAAAGTTTCATGCTGCAGAGCCCTGAGATGCTTCTCCGGCACAGAATCCTCTCCCTGCTCTTGAGCCCTTTGGCATTTGCCCGCCGTTGACATTAAGAGGCATGTTCAGCGGTGCCGGCAGCATCTCCTCTTCCTTCTCCTCTTCATCCTCCTCCTTCTCCTCCTTCTTTCCCTCCTCCTCCTTCTCCTCCCATCAGCAGGAAGACAAACCGAGGACAGTCTTGAAATATCGAAATTTCCTCCTTGGGATTTGCCAGCGTCGCGCTGCGCCAAGACGGTGGGAATAAAAGGACGCGGACTGTTGCATTATTATTTTATTAATCGGTCAGCGGGAAGATTACAGATGAGGCAAGGGGACGCCTGCCACTCTTCCTGCGCTAAGATTGAAAAATGAGGCTGGACTGGGGGAAGCCCTGACATGAAGCAAAAAGAATAAGATTTTTTTTTTTTAAGGACAGAAAAGCCACAGGATCCTCCCCCCACCCCCCAACACACACGTACACAGAGAGAACACTTTTATTTGTATTTAATTTTTTTTTTCTCGTGCTGGTGGGGGAGGCGATTGGCTGGCTGCGGGGAGCTGCTTCCTTTCTCTTTTTGGAGATGGTTGTGCTATTCCTTTTTGCCTGGCTCTGGATGGTGCGGGGAGTCCTTTCCCAGCTTCACTACACGGTGCAGGAGGAGCAGGAGCATGGCACGTTCGTGGGCAACATCGCGGAAGACCTGGGCCTGGACATCACCAAACTTTCGGCTCGCAGGTTCCAGACGGTGCCCAACTCCCGGACCCCCTACCTGGACCTCAACCTGGAGACCGGGGTGCTGTACGTGAACGAGAAGATCGACCGCGAGCAGATCTGCAAGCAGAGCCCCTCCTGCGTGCTGCACCTGGAGGTGTTCCTGGAGAACCCGCTGGAGCTGTTCCGGGTGGAGATCGAGGTGCTGGACATCAACGACAACCCCCCTTCCTTCCCGGAGCCGGACCTCACGGTGGAGATCTCCGAGAGCGCCACGCCGGGCACCCGCTTCCCCCTGGAGAGCGCCTTCGACCCGGACGTGGGCACCAACTCCCTGCGCGACTACCAGATCACCCCCAACAGCTACTTCTCCCTGGACGTGCAGACCCAGGGCGATGGCACCCGCTTCGCCGAGCTGGTGCTGGAGAAGCCGCTGGACCGGGAGCAGCAGGCGGTGCACCGCTACGTGCTGACCGCGGTGGACGGGGGAGGAGGGGGAGGAGGAGGAGGAGGAGAAGGGGGAGGAGGAGGCGGCGGCGGCCAAGGAGGAGGAGGAGGGGGCGGCGGGGGTCTGCCCCCCCAGCAGCAGCGCACCGGCACGGCCCTCCTCACCATCCGAGTCCTCGACTCCAACGACAACGTGCCCGCCTTCGACCAGCCCGTCTACACGGTGTCCCTGCCCGAGAACTCGCCCCCGGGCACCCTGGTGATCCAGCTCAACGCCACGGACCCGGACGAGGGCCCTAACGGCGAGGTGGTGTACTCGTTCAGCAGCCACCTGTCGCCGCGGGCGCGGGAGCTGTTCGCGCTGGCGCCGCGCACGGGCCGCCTGGAGGTGAGCGGGGAGCTGGACTACGAGGAGAGCGCGGCGCACCAGGTGTACGTGCAGGCCAAGGACCTGGGCCCCAACGCCGTGCCGGCGCACTGCAAGGTGCTGGTGCGGGTGCTGGACGCCAACGACAACGCGCCCGAGATCAGCTTCAGCACGGTGAAGGAGGCGGTGAGCGAGGCGGCGGCGCCCGGCACGGTGGTGGCCCTGTTCAGCGTGGCCGACCGCGACTCGGAGCAGAACGGGCAGGTGCAGTGCGAGCTGCTGGGCGACGTGCCGTTCCGCCTCAAGTCGTCCTTCAAGAACTACTACACCATCGTCACCGAGGCGCCCCTGGACCGCGAGGCCGGCGACGCCTACACCCTCACCGTGGTGGCCCGGGACCGCGGCGAGCCGCCGCTCGCCACCAGCAAGTCCATCCAGGTGCGGGTGTCGGACGTGAACGACAACGCGCCCCGGTTCCCCCAGCCCGTCTACGACGTGGCCGTGACCGAGAACAACGTGCCGGGCGCCTACATCTACGCCGTGAGCGCCACGGACCGCGACGAGGGCGCCAACGCGCGGCTCGCCTACGCCATCCTCGAGTGCCAGATCCAGGGCATGAGCGTCTTCACCTACGTGAGCATCAACGCCGAGAACGGCTACCTCTACGCCCTGCGCTCCTTCGACTACGAGCAGCTCAAGGACTTCAGCTTCCAGGTGGAGGCGCGGGACGCGGGCAGCCCCGAGGCGCTGGCGGGCAACGCCACGGTGCACATCGTGGTGCTGGACCAGAACGACAACGCGCCCTCCATCGTGGCGCCCCTGCCCGGCCGCAACGGGACGCCGGCCCGCGAGGCGCTGCCCCGCTCGGCCGAGCCGGGCTACCTGCTCACCCGCGTGGCCGCCGTGGACGCGGACGACGGCGAGAACGCGCGCCTCACCTACAGCCTCGTGCGGGGCAACGAGGCCAACCTGTTCCGCATGGACTGGCGCACCGGGGAGCTCCGCACGGCGCGCCGCGTGCCGGCCAAGCGCGACCCCCAGCGGCCCTACGAGCTGGTGATCGAGGTGCGCGACCACGGCCAGCCGCCCCTGTCGTCCACGGCCACGCTGCTGGTGCAGCTGGTGGACGGCGCCGCGGAGCCCCCGGGCGGGGGCGGGGGCGGGCCCGGGGGCTCCGGGGAGCACCAGCGCCCCCCCAACCGCTCCGGCGGCGCTGGAGGAGGAGGAGGCGGCGGGGAGACCTCGCTGGACCTCACCCTCATCCTCATCATAGCCCTGGGCTCCGTGTCCTTCATCTTCCTGCTGGCCATGATCGTGCTGGCCGTGCGCTGCCAGAAGGAGAAGAAGCTCAACATCTACACGTGCCTGGCCGCCGGCGACTGCTGCCTGTGCTGCTGCTGCTGCTGCTGCGGCGGCGGCGGCGGCGGCGGCGGCCACGGGGGCTCCGCCTGCTGCGGCCGCCAGGCCCGGGCGCGCAAGAAGAAACTCAGCAAGTCGGACATCATGCTGGTGCAGAGCTCCAACGTGGCCAGCAACCCAGCGCAGGTGCCCGTGGTGGAGGAGGCCGGGGGCTTCGGCGGCTCCCATCACCACAACCAGAATTACTGCTACCAGGTCTGCCTGACCCCGGAGTCCGCCAAGACCGACCTGATGTTCCTGAAGCCCTGCAGCCCCTCCCGGAGCACGGACACTGAGCACAACCCCTGCGGGGCCATCGTCACCGGCTACGCCGACCAGCAGCCCGACATCATCTCCAACGGGAGCATTTTGTCCAACGAGGTAAGGCTGAAGCGCAAGGACCACCATCTCTCATCTCCTCCATCCGAAAGCCTCCTCTAGCCTGGCCCCCCTGTTGTTTCTGGTGCACTGTGTATTTATTTTTTAGGCTGTTAGCTTATTTGTATCTTTGTGTGTGGGGGGGGAGGTGTGACAAGGGGTGGGGGATCCCTCTCTCTTCCACCCCTCTGTGTGTAATCTAAACTCAGTGTTGTCCCTTATGTTTTTGCGCTCCACCACCCTGCACAGTCTATTTTCACTTCCCACCCTTGGTGCCTTGCCTCCTTGGACTTTCTTTTTTCCCTCTGGCATCTTTGCTTTAAAATCCCCACCCCTTCTTCTCAGTCCTTTCCCTTCTCAGAAACCTGGGAATGAATGGGCAAGTGGGCGGGGACAGAGGGAATGGGGTGGAGGCACTTGCTGGCACTGGCAAAGGTCTTTTCTCTCTCTCTCTCTCTCTCTCTCTCTCTCTCTCTCTCTCTTTCTCTCTCTCTCTCTCTCTCTCTCTGCGTCTGTCTCAGGCGTTAATAAAGTTCATTGTTTTGCCCTGTTTAATCGATGCTTTCAGTCGCGTGTAAAAAGTAAGCTATAGATTGTCTTAACTCTGCACAGTTGTCTAAACTCGAATGCATGTCGTAGTGAACGAGTTATCAGATTCCTGTCCCCTGAACTCGGGTTGCAGAAAAGCCTTCAGTTCTGTCCTGGACAGCATTTACAGACGCTCTTGAAGCCCAAGGCCCACACAGTGTGAATTTGAATGAAGTTGCTTTTGGCACAAGCCTCTGTAAGCATAAACTAAACGGAAGGCTTAAACAATTGTTGTCTTAAACTATATCTCCTAGCTAATAATCACCTTCTTGCCACTGTTTTTGATAAATCACTGCTGTTGGCTTTCTTTACCAAAGGATGTGGCTTGTCAGTTCTGATTTATTCTTAAAAGATGGAGAAGTGGCAAAGTTGGAGGGAAGGAGGGAAGGGGGGAGAGGGAGAAGGGAGTTGATTTATTTAAAAGAAAGTTTGGCCAGAAGAGGTGTATGGGTGGTGAAGGTGGGAGGAGGATGCAGAGAGCCTTTGGAAGGGGAAAGATTTTGGCGGGAGGGAAAGCTATGAGCTCCTTTCTTGACAGGTTATTTTATTTATTTGAGTCTTAGATATTATTAATTGACTTTCATGGATATTTGTACAGCTCATTTGTATCTTAAGCACATTTTGAAAATAAACAACAAAATAATTCCATAAAACATCCAAACTTTTGCTTATTGAGCGTGCTGTCTTTCTTGTGTCAACCAGTATACACCTAAACACTTTTTTAGGCCATTGTAAGAAAGACTACAGAGCATAACTAGGTTGACTCTGTCCTAGATGATCATTTATGAGTCCCAGCTATGAGGTCATTTGCATTCGCTCCTTAAAAAGCACTCACACATTTAACATTGGCCTTTTATACCTGCATTTTTTTTAAACCTTTACTGGAAATCTAGACTCAGGTGTCTTTTCATATCTCCATGCCCTTACCCAGCAATTGGGCTGAGATCTTAGGACAACATAGAAATTCATAAAAATGTACACAATTACTTAAGCTGGAATTAGTTTCTAACCTCAAAAGCAGACTATTAGTTAACCCTTAGCATTCAAAGGCTCTTGATTTATTTATTTTTTTTCTAGACTAAACATCAGAGAGCAGAGCTCAGCTATCTAGTTGACAGACCTCGCCGAGTTAACAGGTATGGACTCATGTTTTACTTCCTAGCTATGTGTGTGGACAATCTACTACCTATTGCAAGCAAGAATTAGGTATATTACTCAATAATATAATATAAAACATATAAAGTATTTCCAATTTCGGCAGGACATAAATGCTAATTAAGTTGGGTTTCCTACTTAATACATTAAAATATGGGTATCTTATTATATACAAGGTTCTAAATATTTTTGGATTGTTTGTCAGTTTTCACCCCTACACTGTTTCTGATGGTCTCCCTAACGGTTCCAGGTATATTTGCACACCTGCTGTATAAAATGATATAAACATATGCTTAGCCCCAATCATAGAATTTCTATTGCCTAAGCTTTCCATGCCTTCCAGGGCTCAACCTGACTGCTGATGCTCAATTTTAAAGAGTTAGGGTTCAGCTTATGAAAACGAGCTTTATGCAGAAATAAAGCCAACTCAGAGGTCTCTGAATCTGCAGCGCCACCGGCGACCATGTGGTGGCAGAAGAATGTTTTGTGTGTAACTTCACCTCTTTTTATTCTAATTTCACATTTCTGTACTTCTAGTTCTGCATTCCAGGAAGCCGACATAGTAAGCTCTAAGGACAGTGGTCATGGAGACAGTGAACAGGGAGATAGTGATCACGATGCCACCAACCGTGGCCAGTCAGCTGGTAAGTGTGATCCAAAGAGCAATCTAAATGCTGGCTTTTAGAGTTAAAAAAAAAAAAAAAATCTAGAAAAGATGATGTCCTAGGTAATTTTCTTTTTCTTTTTGTAAATTTAATGTTGCTACCTCTAGGGAAAAGGACTGTGTCATCCTAGGTTGATAAATATATACTCAAAGAGAATTACAAAAATCCAGTGTTCCTTTGGAGAGTTAATGTTAGAAATGCATTGTGGGATATATTAGAATTTGAACTATTTCTTCCTTATGTAATGTGCTTTAATGAAATTATAACGCATGCAAAAAGCCATGGATCTCTCACCTGGACCAGCCCCCAGCCTTCAGTCAATTAAGATATTATTAGACCTGTTTGTGGATGAGGTAAGTGAAGATGAATGAAATTGATTGACCTGTACAAGGTCATGAAAGGCTAAGTGGATAACTGGGGCTAGAACCCACAGTTCTTGCCATACAGTGCATTTTGCATGCCACCAAGTAGTGAATGTGGGAACAGATGGTGATTAAAAGACAAATAGGTTTGAAAGCAGGATTTCCAACCCTGGATTCTTAGGCTTCAGGGCATTAGCAAACATTTGATAGTGTGTATTTCCTGAAGTGTGTTAGGTTTCCTTGTATTTTCAGCAGGGTCCATGACCTGTCAAAATGTTGGACACCTTATAGAGTTATACGTGGGCTTAATGGTAGTCACTGATATGGTCGCCATGGGCTACATACGTTTTATTTTATTTTGCTTCATCTATTTTGCTTTAGTTTTTTTTTATGTGAATTTATTCTTGAAATTTTATAGGACCCTGATAACTCTAATTACTATTTCATAAAGGAAACACTTAAGAGAAATACAATGTGTACTGTAACCTAATGAAAATAATCTCATAACGTTTGGATTTCCTTTCCCTTTTATTTGCACTTCAACTAAAAAGGGTGCTTGTTAATTTTGTTTTACTTTTTTATTTTCTGATCAAGTTTTGTGTTTATCTGACACGTTAAGAAAATGGAAAGTCAACTTTTGTAACTTCTAAAAATGTCCATTTTTGGAGATCGTGCCTGGGTGCAACTTCTTTGGCTTGCGATTTGAGCTTTATTTTGATTAATGGTGTAAGCATGGCGTGATAAAGTCCTTGTCTTCAAGGCAGCTTAGGTCCTCGAGAGCACCCATTCCTCAACACACTCGTTGCCCCTCTGGGACTGAGGCAGCAGGTCAGAGGGCGGGACACGCCCCGCGGTCGCCTGGCAGCCCTGGCCTCTGCCAGCCAGAGACTGGGCTAATGTGTGCTGTGTCTGAGGCTGCCTCAGGCTTGGGAAACACAGGCTGGAGGAGGTGGGAAAAGGCTGCTCAAGGGTCTCTTTATTTGGCTGCAAGTCATTAATATGCAGACCTAATGAGACTTGAGAACTGCCAAGAATCCCCGGAGGTCCCTGCCCCTTGCAGGCCTTCACGCTAAGTGAACAGAGCATCTATTTAGTGTCTGGGAACCTGACAACAAACCAGATCTTGCCAGAAGTTTATATTGGAGTACAAAGTCCCTTTCATTTTTGGCCTATATGTGGCATATGATTTATTGTTATCTTTAAGAAGCTGTACATTTAGAATCGTGCATTCCTATTCTTCCCTCGGAGTGTCTAACTTTTAACAGTCAGCCTTTTAAAACTTCTAAAACAAAATCTTTACCATGGAAAACTGAGTATCTGCTGCATGCTCCCTGGGATGCATTTTACACCTTTCCAACTCTTTTGTTTGTTTTTGTTGTTGTTTTGTTTTGTTCCTTTTTTTCCCCCCTGTGGCTCTCCAATCTCAATAAACATTTCAATTAGTTTAGTCCCTTAGACATAATGAGCTGTAATCACCTAACCAAAGAAAGAGAAATGAATAAACACCTGCAAAAAAAAAAAAAAAGCACTGAATTTGGAAGGTGGCTGGGAATATTTTCCTGCCCATGCAACTTCCAGTAGCTATTTTATTTCACAGGCACTCCGTGTTGTGATTTTGGGATGTGTCTTCCCATTGTTTGAGATGTCAAAGCATTAAAATGAAAATGAAAATACTAAACTGTGTTCTGAAAAACACTTTTTAAAAGTAGTAAGGCAGTTTTTCTTTTTCTTTATCAAAATGGCCATACCCTCCACCTTCCCCCCTCCCCCATCCTTATGTTTTTAAACATGTAAAAGTAGCACAGAATCTACAATCTGTATGTGTCATTAACAGTTTATAGGGCAGCCACTACCTACTGGGCACAAGAATAGCTGTTTCAGAATTGGAACTGCACACTTTTATTAAGAAGCAATCACACCTTTGTGTGCTGAATTGCAGTCCGTTTTAATATGTCTCATTTCATTGTAAGAATGATTTTGAATGTTTTCCTTTTAAGTATACAATCCTAAGTGCAGAGAATTAGAATGCATTTACTTAATGCTTTTTTCCCAGTCAAACTGATGTTGTGTATTATAAACCCACATAAAAAAAAAAGGCTAAAATGTTTTCTATAAGTAAAGTCCATTTCAGTATATCTATTTCATTTCATTGAAAAGCCAGGTATTATGTTGTAATATTTAGAAAACATTCAAAGCACATGCATTTTCAGGTTTCGGATATTAACACATTTCATACTAATAAGCCAATCTCACTCAGCTGGATTTTAAGGGGGAAGAGGTTAGATTAGCAAGGGAAAATAACTCTGGAAAAATATAGAAATCTGAATTTTCTCCTTTAGTTTGCACTGCATTCCATACTCCATTTCATACACTTTTTGGCTTCGCCTATTTAAACTTCCTAACTTCTCCTTTATTCTCACGTTCTTTTTCTATGTTAGCATTGCTTTATATGCACTTATTTAAATATGCCTTCTATTTATTCTCCTATGAATAGTTTTCCTTTTTTTCCCCCCCTTCCCCCTACTTGTCCCCTTTCTAAGCCATTTGAAGTCACAATCTTGTTCATAGAAGGGCTTTAAATACGGAGGCAGCTGCACAGAGAACCACATAAGTTTTTTCAGCTTTCCACTCACTTGGATCCCTGTGTAAAACTGCTCGGATTGACCACTGCTCTGTGGAACTATTTCTCTCTCCCCCCCCCCCCCATAGCCTTATCAAGGTGCTTTCCATGTCTTTTTTCGGTGCACGATTGATGTATTGGTCAGATATGGCAAAAGACCAAGGAGATGTGGTAAATGCATGCATAAGTCATCACAAGAAGCAAAACTGATTAATCACAGCTGAACTAGCCAAAGGAAGTCAAGGTGGATTTTAAAATAAATATATTTTCAATTTTGTTCGTTTAATCGTTAGATTAAAAGATAGGCTTTTTTTCTCTCCTCATTTATACTACTAGTACAACATTTTTTGTTGTATATCCTCAAACATTTTAACATTATTGGGGGTAAAATTAAGTTGTAAGAAGTTGCTTTTGAATTTAAAATTCAATGTGCTTAATACTAGAATTAACTTCTGAAAAAAAATATATTTAAGAGGAGAACCCTAATAAGTGATTCTGTTCTTGTTACTTGTTATGGTTTATCTCAAAATGTCAAATGGTTCTTAATTTTTTCAGTTATGAGGGAACTTAGCATCTAAATGTATTTATTTCTTAACTAATTATTATGAGATTGGTACATAATACATGGTCAAATTTTGGCTATAAATTTTTAAAAAATGATTTGAATTATCATTATAAACTAGTAAATAAATTACATCATGAACTGTATTAACATTAATAAGAGAATCCTTGAATTACCATAAATGTAAATTTCTCTTTCCAAAAATTCCAAGAATTTAGAGACTGGCAAAATTTGTGGCTTTATAAGTAAATTGCATTACACCATTGTTTGCAAAAACTCACTAAGGTTTGTAGTGAAAGTCTGAGCTACAAAGATTTGTAATTAGAAAAATACATGACAAAATATGGAGAGAAAATGGAAAAAAATAAACATTTTGAAAAATAGATAGAGAAAAATTATGATACACATGTTTTGAATTTTATGTTTGAATTATGTTGATAAATATCTGCCTCCAAACCACATTATCCTAAAAATTATAGCAATTTTTTATGGTCATAATTAAAATTTCTTAGTTTCCAGTGTTATGTGGCCAAAGGAAGGCTAGAAATTTCCTAAAAAAAATTAAGTGTTGATTTTCTTTAAAATTAACTTATCATGTTTGAAAATAATAAACTTTTTTTATGAAGGTTTGGTGCATGAGAAATGTATACATAGTTTTGTATTATTACATTCATCAGGAAGCTGTACAAGTAAAATACAAATCTAAAATCTTTGAAATTATAATTTGTTCTCAGTGGTAATAGCACTGTCTCCAACTATAAGGGACAAATTACTTGCCAGTTATAAAAGACATATTTTAAAATTTGTCTAAATATATCTGTGCATAACAGGCAGTCTATCACATCAGCTGTTAAGCCTTGTAGAACAGATTATTTCTGAGAAGTGAAGAAAATAAATAAGTAGAAGAAATTGCAAGGGAAAAAAAGACATAAATATATGTATGGAAAGAGATTTCTTAGAAACTACCATAAAATTCAAAACTGAGGCTTATTCTGCATTTTTCTGCAATACAAGTCCTATAGGTACTACAGTAATGGCATTTGAATGAGGACAAAAAAAAATCAAGTTAAATTTACTTTCCCTTGGGACTTCGATTTGAGCCATTAAAAATTTCCCCAGGCAATGTGAATGTCACTATGTCATTTTACCCTGTCACATGGTAAACACCTGGCATTCCTTGCATCATATTGTCATTTATCACAACAAAACTTAAATATACCTCTGCCTACTTGGCCATTAAAATAATATTTAATAGAGTTAGTGGTAAATGAAAAAAATATAAAATAATATTAGTCTTTCAATGGCTCCCTAAGATGAGGACTGGTTATGAGGAAATTTTGCTTCTCAAACTATATATAAAAAATTCATTTTCAATAAATATTTTATTAGTTATTTTTAATTTATTGATGTACTATTTGTGTTATTAAAATTATGACATTTTTCTTATAATGTGTACACTTGCTTTACCAGTAAAACTGTTAGAATATATTTGTGCATAGTTTGTGACACCTTGTCTTTCCTTCTAGTTATAGAAAGCTATGTGTTATTACTATGGTAGTTCTACTTAAAAGGATTAGTCCACAAATTTCTCAAGAACATTATCTACAATTTGTTTTTTTCTCCCCTTCAGTCAAGTAAGATTCTTCCAACAAAAAAACTTTATCTTATTCCACCACTGTTCTTTCTATGCTTATGTTGTATTATCTGTACAGGTTCTCAACTCATGAAAACTTATTATATCATCTTAGAGACTTTTAACTACCTTCTAATAGTAAAAAGAGCCAGAACAGCATACACTTCAAGAGAATAAAATGGGCACAGTGGAGTACAAACTACCAGTAAAAACAAATTCTACTGAAAGTACCTCCTAATATAATCATCTGCATAGTGATGTTGAGAGACCAGTTTATTCAAATTCCTCTGTGTAAGATTATTATATGCATAATTATAGGACTACTTGGGTCCAGGCTTCAAAATAAGTGAAAGATTGTTAATAGTCTCATCATATATTTAAAACGGTATTTTCAGTCATGTGATGAAAAATTGTATTAATTCTAAATTTTGCATAAGGTATCCAACTTGATCAGGATCCAATAATACAATTCTACCTTAATATTTGAATCATTTTATCAACATCCAATTCCATATAACTTGGATTTATTTTAAAAATAAATAATTTCTGCTAATAATATAATAATGTTAGTCTTAATGGTAGTTCCATCTATTATAAATAAAGCGCCCCCACCACCATGCATATTATTAATAGGGAGCATTTATAGTTTAGTGTGTCGATATACAAGTCTCTCTGGTTCTCTAGCTTCCACCTACTTGGCATTTCAATGCACCAGGGACATTCTTTTCCCTTTTCTCTTTTTCTCTGTACATAGCTGCTTGCAGAAATAGGATAAAAAAAACTGACCTCTGATGTCTAGGGAAACACTGGCATGTCTTACATGTGGAACTTATCCTGGCTTCAGCTCACGTTTTTGTTCCTCAACAGTTGACTGATCGGTAATTTACTTGCAGGCTTATGCACAATAACTGTCAATGGGATGTTATAATTGAAGTTAGACTTTGCATTATGTTTAATTTAAATTTAAAAAGTCATTATAAAGTGAGATTCATATGTGATAAGATGCTTGTTGTTATTTCCTTCAACATAGTTTATGTAATCAATTACTTATAATTTATAGATAACCTATAGGGTTAGTAATTTTAACTATTTATTCTCTTTATTTTATATATACAGATGTTAACATACATGCAGACAAGTAAATCAATCTGTGACAGAATGCCATCAGGAATTTAAAACCTAAAACTTGCTCAAGAACTTGAATCACTTATGATGTTTATGAAAGAAACGATATATCAAGTGTGTTCATTAAATACATATTACTCTGTTGGTTAAACAAACAAGAAAAACCCCATGCAGACCAGGCATGCATTTGAGTTTCTTACCTACAGACCAGTTCTACTTTGGTTATCTCAAATTGGCCGTGTTTAAAGATATATTCAATAAATGTGTTACTATGTTTAGCAAAACATTAAAATGCTATCTTGGTTTATGACTTGCTTTTCTGCATTAGTGCTATTATAATTATAAAACTGAATATCAAATAGTAGTCTATAAGGCTCAAAATCATTATGCTTTATTTAAGAAACTGAATGAGATTTCTCAAACCATAATCAGGTAATAGGTAATAGTCTTATCAATCTATAGAGTACAACGAAACTTGAAATTGAAATTTGAAATCTTGATACAGCAAATCCTCACTTAACATCATTGGTATTTCTGTGAAGTGACTTATAATAAATCAGTTATAGCATAGGCCAATTGATTAGAAAAAAAAAAGGGTTACGTTCCTATGACATTTCATTGACATTACAATGAAATGATGAGACATTATCCGAGGACCTGCTATGTATTCTAGGATTAGTAAGCAAACTGTGTGTTGACAAGGACCTGTTTTTTCCAATATAGAACAAGTAATAAGGTACTTGTCAATAGTATCTGCAGTTGACTCCCATTGCACTTGGTTACCTTGGTTTCACTAATTACAGTCATTTGTCCTGAATTGGTCTACGCTGGTAAATGATAAGCGGTTTGTAGTAACATGGGCTACTGGAGTGTCATGGAGAATTACCTTTTAGGGAGTAATTTCCTGGGAACCTTGGGAAGCATGTTCTTGTCCGCTCATGAAATCTTATTTCATTCTTGTTATGTCCTGGTTTATCAATATGCATGCCGGTTTTCTGTTGAATTTCTCTCTTTTGTTTCATGTTCGGATTTCAAAATCTAAGTATCAACCTTCGTGCTTTGCATATTTCCTCCCCTCCAATGTTACCTCTAAGAAAGAAATGTCAGATATCTATCATCATTAGAGATTGTGGGTTATGAAAACCGAACACAATTTTTTTTTCCTGTTATGCACGTCACCAGAGATTTTTTTTTTTAAAGGATTCATTTTCTTTCTACTCACCATTTCCAAATTATTTTTTAAAAATTGGAACAAAAATAAATAAATACATTTGGAGCCAGTGTATTTTCCCCAATACCGTGCGTAGTTGAGAAACATCTGCTCCCGACACCACTTTGCCAAAAGCGTTATCCTTCACAATGTAGTACGAAGAGATGTGGGGCCGATCGTAGGTTGAGACAGGAAAACTGTGAGGACCAGACATCACTGGCATCACTCTGGGTGCTGCTGCCTGAAACCTTCCAGGGCTCAGCAGCGGGCCCCGCCGGGGAATCCTACATCTGCTGTCTCTCTCTCTCTTTCCCTGCTCACAGGCATGGATCTCTTCTCCAACTGCACCGAGGAGTGCAAAGCCCTAGGCCACTCGGACAGGTGCTGGATGCCTTCTTTTGTCCCCTCGGATGGACGCCAGGCTGCCGACTACCGCAGCAACCTGCACGTGCCCGGCATGGACTCCGTCCCGGACACCGAGGTGTTCGAGGCCCCGGAGGCGCAGCCCGCGGCAGAGCGGTCCTTCTCCACCTTCGGCAAAGAGAAGGCCCTGCACAGCACCCTGGAGAGGAAGGAGCTGGACGGACTGCTGTCCAGTACACGAGCGCCTTACAAACCACCGTATTTGAGTAAGTATTCTGTCAAAGGCTGTATCAAGTTGTTCCCTTTGAGGGAATAAAGCTCACCATGCCGTTCTGCTTAGTCACCACAGAGGCCAGGTGGTCCTCGGAAACAAGGCTGGCAATTACTCCTGGATGCAGGCAGCGCTTTGCTATGGGAAACAGATGCTGGACAGGCAGGCAGGGTGCAGTGCTAGGACATGGCTGTTGACAGCAATCCAAGGCCACAGTTTTGAGGTTGTTGAAAACATTTTTTTTTTTTCAAACGCTTCTTCGTATGTCCTTTGGATAGTCCTCTCTTGCTTACTTGGTTTCCATGCTGTGTGAAGGGCTTCATCAAGGTCGAAAGACATCTTCTTCACCCTGGAGTCTGTGAGGGATCTCATTTCTTAGGATGCCAGCATTAGTGCCTAATCACCCTTTACCACAGTAGCGTCGGACACACCACCCCAAATTCAGAAACCAGTGCAGCCTTTACTTTGACCCTTCAGCATGGGTGACAAAGCAGTAGGTTGGTGTGGATTCAAGTCTGATTCGAACCAGAAGCACCCCGTGATGAGCACATATCGATATAGAGATATTCTTCATTTATTTAAAATAGTAGATTCTTCTTACCCTGAAACTTAGATAATTTCACTCATCTCTTTCAATTGTGGGACCATGTTCTCTCTAAGTGGTTTATTTTATACAGCCACTTTGAAAAAATAAAAAATGCTTTGAGATTCTCTGCAGTTTATTTCCTTTGAGGATCTTAGAAATGCAATTATACTATTTATTGTCTACCACATAGGAGTCTTTTAGTTAGTGGATAATTGCTACTGATAACAATATTTTGGTCAAACCATATGAACTAATATTTCATGAGGATGCAATTCAGAACAAGTCAGTCAAAAGATGATGTTTAGCTTGTATAGCAAAGCCATCATACATGATGTCTTCTTACTGTCTGTTTTTATTTATGGTTAAAATAAAAATAAATGGATCCTGGAACCATAAGTTAAAAAACATAAGATGAGATAGATTGCAGATGACTTTTATTACTTATGAAATGGGAGGAAAAAAGAAAAAGTACTTAAAGATAGAAGAACGCTTATGTTAGTCCTGATTAATATAAATGTGAAAGGCATGGATTGAATGCACCCAGGACCTGGCTACTTTTCTGGCCGTTGATAATTAAGAATACACAAGTGTCATCTAACTAAAGATCTGCCATTGAATACATGCATTGTGATGGCAACAATCAAATGTTGTTTAATGAAGGATCATGCTCAGCTTTTCAAATTATTTAGAGATGCAATTGCCCTAGTATGATATAGCAATTTTGGATTTCAGAACCAAAGAATTGTGCCTCCTACAAATGATAACTGTTTTGATTTATTTTTTATAGTTATAAAATACAAGGAAACACAAGTACTTAAGGAAAGTATTGAAACATCTAATCGAATAATGAAGATGCAATTTGAATGCTAGCGTACTAAAGTTTAACTCACATACCGTGTTTCCCCAAAAATAAGACATCCTCCGAAAATAAGACCAGGTGGATGGAAAGATAAGACATCCCCTGAAAATAAGACCTAGCGCAACTTTGGGAGAAAAAATTAATATAAGACACTGTCTTATTTTCGGGGAAACAGGGTATCTACACACACTAGTGATTGAAAGTAGCCTAAAATTAAATTTTAACAAAGGAGGACTATTACTCAGTCTTTTGCCCCTCAAACTGAATTCTGGATTTTAAATTTTGTTATCAAAGAACAAGCTTTTCCAAATTTTAAACAATGTATTCTCAATTTAAATTAATAATTCACACTATAGAGATACAGTATCAATGATTTCAACACAAAAAGTCAAAGAGCATATGATTCATAGTAATTCAAATTTGTATTTCTAAATAAATACATGTATTTACTTTTGCTATGTATCGATTGGTAAGTTTGCATCAAATATAGTGAAAAAAAATAAATGCACCATCTTTTGTTCTTAATGAGTACAGATTTTTGAAGTTTTACATTCAGAAGTGAAAATTTAAGCATTTCCAAATGTCTTTCTCCACTGACTAGTTTTTCTTTTTAATTTCAAGTACCACGGTAACAATTTAATTAATGCAAATGTTAATGCTACTTATATTTTAATGAAAATTTCTCTAATTCCTAAGAATCTAGTGTTTCTGTTTAGAAATCTGATTTTAGGGATTATGAAATATGTTAACTGTTATGTGTGTTGCTAGAAATCAATGAATGTGTCTATTATATTATCAAGAAAATTGCATTTGTTTGCATATTATCCAAATATGTATTAGGATAAATTAGTTTTCAATAACAATTTATTTTTTTCTGTTTAGCCAGCTCACATTATTCAAAAATTAGGGGATAGGATGAATTGTGACCTTGATGAAAAATAAGTAGAATAATAGCTATTTTGCTCTTACTTATATTGTCCTTAGTTCTTCATATAATTTTAATCATGTCTGAATACTTTTAAAACTTCTAGTGTTTCATGTCATCTTAGACTCACACAATTATCTTTAAAATTACATCATGGCTCTGATTTAATAGGCATAGTCAATTTTAACCTAATAATGCAAACTATAATCCAAAACCATTCCTGACCATTTTGCCCTCCAAAGTCACATGATAATAGTTGTTAAAAGATGTATTATTTATCATTGGCGATGGAAATACCCTGATCTTCTAAATTGAAAAGCACATCCCTTATGTAATTAAAGAAGCTAAAAATTGACACTAATTATTTGCCTTTAATCAGAATGTTTAAATAATTATTGAGGTAGCAGTTTTTTCTTTTGCTAAACTTGCATTTAGTTTTATGATGAACATAATATACATTTTGATGTTAAGAGCAGTAGCTGTATAATTAGTTGAAGCTCTAAAAAAAAAAAAGCTCAATGAGGTTACTGCTGTCATTTGTGAAATGATGACATGAAAATAGTGACATGCTTAATAATACAAATGAGATCATTTTCTATGTTTATACCTCTGATTGCTAAGGTTAATACTGAAAATGGCAGGAAACCAATTTCTACCCAAAAGTATGCATTAAAAATTGTATTTTGTGTTTATAACAGCATATCTAAACACAGTCACGTTTCCTTTTGTTTAAAGAAAAGGTTCATGAGCGTATACATGTATTTAATGAGAAAGAACCCATTTTTTTTTAACTAGGAGTAATTTTGAAAACACATCTCTTAATACTTGCTCTTTTAGTCATGAGTGCTTTGTGAACATGCTCTTATTTTTGTTACAACGTTGGCATTTGCTAATACTCTGATAAGGATCAAAGGGTCACACTTAAAAATTGAGAAAAGAAATTTAAACATGCAGAGTATATTTCTCATGAAATAAAGTCAACACAGTGTTTAGATTTATCTTAAAATGTTAATGAACTTTAGTTTAACCTCACCTTAAATTTTTATTAGAGTAATAAAAATACTAAAATCTTACTTTAACTTTTGTTTTCAGAAGATATCTTTTTTATGAGCCGTCTCCTATGTCACTTTATGATATTTCTTCTACTTGACTGTATGCCTTTTTTTTTACATCCTCAGCATTTAAAAAAAAAATTATATTGTTGAAAGTATTATAGAGTCTCCTTTTTTCCCCATTGACCCCCTAACCAGAACCTATGGTTAGACTCTTAGGTTTAAAAATATCCTATTTTTATGATGATGAATTGAAGAATTAGATTATAGTCATCTTTTTAAAAATAACCTAGTCTTTCAAATGACACAATAAGTTATACATAAAACAATCTGGATTGTCTCAGCAAATAAGAACAAAAATATTTTAGAATATAATTGGTAAAGTTATTAATATAACTTAGAAAAAAACAATAGTTTTTATACAACATCTTTAACATTATTTTTCAATTATTCTTCCTTATAATTTTGGCTTCAGATTTTGATCAGATCTTATAAGACTTTTGTCAGTAAATAAACATGTCTTTCAGTAAATAATCAGCCTAAACAATACAGAACTAATGCTGTAAGTTTTAGAAAAATTGTTGATTTTTTTGGTCAATAAACATAGTCCCAAAGAAGTGAATAATTGAAGACAATCATAAGATAAACAATCGAATAAATTTTATCTAAAATATATTTGTGAAAATCTTTAATTTATTAAAGTCATATAATAGATTATAAAGAATAAAGTTAGAAAAATATACATTGATATACTAATTTTTAAAATTCTAAATCCATGACATTTCCTGCCTTCAAAGCATACCACATTTAGACTAGTCCATGTGTGCCAAAATATCATGCTAGCTGCTTCCTGACCTCACTTTATTTTTGCCTACTTTTGAGCCTTTTTGAAATTTCAATGCTACTCATCCATATCATAGCATAAGAAAATATGTAGAAGTTCAAAACATTGCATTTAAAATATTGTTGACATTTTACTTAGACTTTGTTTTTAGTATGCCTTCAATTGGGAAATCTACTTTGGGCATCTATGTTAATTCTAAAGAGCACTTGAAGTTTTTATTTGATTGAAATTGTAGAGCATGTTTTGTTTAGTCACATCTCTTCCGATCCCTTCATGACTTCAGGCTTCCTTCTGTACGTTTTCATGAATTCTTGAACTCAACAGTGTGACAAGAACATATGTAGAATTCAAAATAAAATGTCTTATTGATACACATTATCCTCATATTTACGTACTCTTTTGTAGGGTTTTCTCTGAGATTTGTATTTTCATCTAATGTCATAAAGATAATACAACTTTATCAAATATTAAAGTTCCCAAATACGTATTTTTATACACAATCTTTTCAATAGTTCTGTCTCATAGACCCATACATTACTAAATGGATGGACACCTTTTCTGGATTTTTGTCTTTTTTCCAGCAGATATGTTTATTTCTGTTCACTTTTTCTCCAAGATGTGCTACTTATTTTATAATTACCTACTTCTGATATTTTTGTTCTCTCTTCTTTATAAGTATATATCTAGATTCATAAACAACTGTATTTCTCACTCTTTAGTGTATCTCAT